CGCGGGCGAGAGCGATGCCAGTCAATTGAGCGGGCCAGCGCGCGGCGCTGGACAGCAGCGCTGTGCGACGCAAGCTTGACCACCTGTTGCCGCTGGCACTGTGGTTGGGCGTGGCATCAGGTGGAAGGGCGCGCGTCTCCAGGCCTTTTGGGGGGCTTCTCTCTGGCGGGCGAGCGCCGCAGGGGTCGGCGCTTGCAATGCTGCGCTTGCGTAGCTTTGAAAAGTGCGACGTTGGACATTGCGGCCGTCGGCGGGACTTGGAAGAGCAAGCTTCGCGATGTGTGCGCGACCAACTTGGGGCCCCGTGTATTTGCCGCGGCCGGCCGCAACGCTTGCTCGCGAAGCGTTGCGTTTTGAATTCGCCGGCGGTTCTTGCGCGCCATCGGCAGCTTCGCGCGCGCAAGCGTGCGCGTCGCCCGCGTCGACCTCCGCCTCGAACGCGCGGCAGTTGCCCCAGCGCCCGCGCCCGCCGCGCGCGCGACTCCCTGGCCGCGCTCCGCGACGGCGCCGGCCGGCAGAAGCGCAATGCTATCATCGCTGAGGACTTCCGCGCCAAGTCGGCTGATCGACCAGGGGCGGGGGCCTGCGGCGTGGGAGCGTGGGGCGGGGAATCGCATCGCGCGCGGAACGTGACTCGGCGCGTGGGCAGGCATGCGCTCCAAGCAGGGTCATCATCTTTTCTTTGACTAGCGACGTCCTGATTTCATCGCTTTCGCTGGCAGTGCGGAGAGAAGAAGCCGCGGCGCGCGCGTCGCTGGCGTGCTCCTTCATAGAGCATGTCGCAACCAACTCATCGACGAGCGCGCGCGGCAACTCGGACTTCGGCTCAGACGGCCAAGCAGCGCGCGTGGGCGTTGCCCCCAACGCCTGCGCGTCGAGGAAGCAGAAGGAAAGGGCGCGTGGACTCGACCGCTGGCCGCCTCGCCCGCTCGCCGACGACCCGCTGTGCTGCCGGCGTCTACAGCAGGCTCGTCGACAATGGCGGCGCAATTCGCCCCGGCGAAAGGGGCAATTGCATCGGCAAGTGGCGAAGCCCTCGCGCGAGCTCGCGCAGACAGCAGCGCAGACCGGAGCACGCCTATCCAGTATCAATCGCGCGAAGCCGTTCGTGCCGAATGCCGAAGTGAGAACTCATAGAGCAACGCCGCGCCGCGCCGCGCAGAGGCGCATTTGCCCGGGCTGCGCTCAGCAAGCACATGTCGAAGCAGTTCCGACTCGCGAAGCACGCGCGCGAACGCGCCGAGCGAGAAACGCATCAATGACGGCAGCGACTGGCGCGGAAGCCATCGACCGACGGCATTCCGGGCATTTTCGCCGCTTCCAACGAGCAGCTGTACAAATGCCCAAGGGGCAGGAATGCGGCGACGAGGCAACGGCGCCGACGTCGTAGATACCTCCGTTCGTAATGGAAGAGCTACGCCAAGTCACCAACCAGTTGAACAAGACTAAATACAGCGACGCCGCGGGACTCACATCAGAGCTGTTACAGGCAGTCCGAGCAGTTTTTGGACGGCACCAATTCCAGCTCTTCAGCGACATTAGATAACTGGATGGATGGGCCATCTGAGCAGTAGAACAAGACAGCGGCCACGTTGACCTACAAGTGTAGTGACCCCAAGTTGCTGCTCACCTACTGACAGTTTGCTATCCTTCCGTTATTTCTACAAGTCTATGTCGTGCCTCCTCTGAGAACTGCGAGAAGCCACGTTTGGCTCGCAACAAATCTTTGATCACTTCTGGCTCCAAGCGAGGCTCCAGCGCAGAGGGCCACTTCTTTATCGCGGCATTGCTGCGCGAGAAATATCGTTCATGGCAGTTGCACCTGTGGGCAGCCGCGGTCGAGGGCATTCGATGGCGTCGACCATAGCGAGCTATGACATATTCTGCTTCAGCAGCACATGCCAGACACCTGCATCGAATTCCTACGTCACCTGTACGACGACCAGACAACCTCTGCGATACCCGACACCAGCAGCGTAAGTCTTTCAATTCAGCGAGGTGGGCAGCAGGGCGACACGCTCAACTCATTCTTGTTCAATGCGTTTTCGGAGCGCGTTTTTAGGCAGCTCAAGCCCAACCGGCACCGCAGGAAACTTGGAATCAAGCTTGGTTCCTCCCCGGGGAGCATCAGCTCACATTCGCTTGTAAACCGCCTTGGTTCTGTGCGCTCCGAACTTGCGACAGCTCACTTGTGCACTGCGGTGTCTGGCTATAGACGCGCCCATCTGTTGTCTTACAGTGCAGACAGACAAATCCAACGCACGTGCGAACAACAGCTGGAGGATGGGAATGACAGTGGCACACGACATGTTGGACGGTGCGCGTATCAACATATGACCACTCGACCAGAGACAACGTAGTTGGAAAGAAAACCATCGTTCTCTGGCTTCCCCGCCATTGAACTGCATATCATAATCGCCATTGGGTGGTTTTCGTTAAACTAATTGCGACATGAGCTCATTAACGAGACTGTCCCACTACGCAACACATTGCAGCTCGCCAGCGGCACGATAACACTTGGTGTCATTTGCGCATATTTATCTTGGGCCCTGGCGAAGTACATGCGCACCACTTCTTTACGATGGGCGCAGCCGAACATGCTGAGACTTGTCAGTGAAACATTGAGGATACGAGCTGGGGCAAAACGCATCAAACAGGCATCGAACGCCGACAGCAGCGCCACCAACCAGCGCCGACAGCATCAGCATTAACATCAACACTGGTGGCATCAGCACCGACGCTTGCACCGAACAGCGCAGCCAGCACCACAGTGGCAGCGAAGATGAAATTCCATGTGTTTTCTCCAAGACAGAGTACATCCGCGTACGCCGTTTGTTGGCTGGATATATGTATGTATCAGAAGCACATGGAAATTGGCAGCGCGACGCGCCAACCATTGTGTCCACATATGAACGCTTTTGAATGCGAGCTGGGACCCCAGCCTGCACGACTCACGACCAGCCTTTCCGCGGACAGGGAGGGCAAAGACTATCGTGGGACGATCACGTCGCATTTTTTTTGGGGGGAAGCGAACCCGGTGCCGATGGCGACGCACAGTGGCGGTATCTGGCGCAGAACTAGCGGTGGTGGGATCGTCGCAACCAGTAGTTTTTTTTGCAACGCATGCCTCGTTTGATGGATTCGGGCAGTTGTTCCCGCACCCACTTCCGAAGACCCCCAACCCCCACATTGCACCCCCTCTACAGGAACGTGCCGAGCCGTTTCGTCGATCAGGTCATCATCATCATTACCGCCATTATCATCATCGTCATCAGCATGCTCATCATCGTCAACATTATAATCATTACCATCAGCATCAGTATCACCATCAGCATCAGCCTCAGCATCAGCATCAGCATCAGCATCACATCATCATCATCATCATCATCATCATCATCATCATCATCATCATCATCACCACCATCATCATCATCATCATCATCATCATCATCATCATCATCATCATCATCATCATTATCATTATCATCATCATCATCATCATCATCATCATCATCATCATCATCAGCTTCTCCGCCTTCGGTTTCTCCGACTCCGACTCAGTTTTCCGACCTTTGTTTCCACTTATCGACCTCCAGTCTCCCGCGTGCAGGTTTTGCCCCAATACTCCGACGTCCCACCTCCACCTCCAGCTATCGACTTCCAGCTTACGTCAGCGCAGCACCCCAGACCTCCAGCTCCCAGCGTCCAACATTCCACTCCCACCTTCACCTATCGACCTCCAACCTCCGCCAGCTCAGCACTCCGACCTCTTACCTTCAGCATCCGGCTTTCCACCACCGCCTCCACCCATCGACCTCCAGCCTACGCGTGCCACGTACTCCAACCTCCGACCTCCAGCATTCGACACCCCGCGTCCACCTCCGTCTTTAGACTTCACGAGATTAGCACTCCTACCTACAGGACCGTTTTATCACAAGCTCCGCGTGCGGATCATGTATTAAACATGCAGGGATTTAGAACTAAACACAACGATGAGTTCATGCATACATGTATTCATACATTAACTATGTACAAAAACCATAAATACATGTATCATATGTATTAAAAACTGCCCTGTACAGGACCGACATCCTGCCTCCCGCTTCCACCCTCACCTCTTCGACTTGCCTCCACGAGCCCAGTGGTGCGGCATCCAACTCCACCGTCCGACATTCCACCTCCATTTCCACCTATCGACTTCCAGCCTACACCTGCTGCGTACTCAGGCCTCCAGCCTCCAGCTTCCGATTGCCATGTGCACCACCTATGAACCACAAGCTTCCACCAGCTGACACTCCGACCTCCAGTCTCCAACATCCGACGTCCAGTTTCCACCTCCGCCTCTTAGACCTCCAGCTTCCGACATCCCAGCGTCCGACATCCCATTTCTACTTGCAGCTGGCGACTTCCAGCCTGCACCTGCTAAGCACTCCGACCCCTTTTCGAAATTCACCTCCACCTATCGACCACAAGCTCCCACCAGCTGAGCAGTCAGACCTCCAGACTCCAACATCCGACGTCCCACTTCCACCTTCACCTTTCGACCTCCACCCTTGACCCACACAGCATTTTGACCTCCAGCCTCGAGCGTCCGACCTCCCACTCCCATTTCCACCTCCACCCATCGCCCATCGCGCTCCAGAGTACACTAGGTCAGCATTCCGACATCCAGCGTCCAGCATCCGACTTTCCACACCACCTCCACGTCGACCACAGTCGCCCAGGACGACTCCTGAGGGCTCCGGCCTCCCTTGCGCCGCCCTCCCAGGGCGCTTCGCGCCGCTTCGCTTCCCCCTCGTCCTCCTTAGGGCCCTCCTTTCCCCCCCCCCGGGGTGGTCGATGACCGATGGTCGAGCGAAGCAAGAAAGCTCCTTCCCCTCTCCTCCTCGTCCTCCTCCTCCTCTTCCTCCTTCTCCCCTCTCCTCCTCGTCGCTCGTCCCTCGTCCCCCCTCCCCCCCCCCTCGGGGCCCCTCTCTTCTGCACCTGGGCGGCTCTCCGAGGAGCTGGACCAGCTGGTGCAGCAAGCCGAGCTCGCGAGGGCGCGGCCGCCGCCGGGAGGGGTGCTGCTGGAGCGGGCGAGGGGGCAGCAGGGGTCGAGGCAGGTGCTGCGGATGATGCCCAGAGATCCACTGTATATTGAACAAATCACGACGGAGGTTTCTCTCGCAGTTCTCGGCCTCTGGTGGCCCTTGCCGGGCCTCGGGACCGTCAAAAAACGACTCAGGATTCAGGAGGGAAAAAAACAGACAGCCACAATTAATCGTCGACTCCCAGGAAAATATAGGAAAATATTGGAATTTGGCGGGAGGACAAAGACCCCAAAAATATGGGAAAATCTGGGGAATCATTATACTTGTGTGTATTTCTTTGTGTGTCCTTGGGCCCCTTGAAGGATGAAAAACTGGTCCCGGTAAAGGGGTCCAGACTTCGGAGACCCCGTATGGAAAGGATCACGGCATCGGATCTCTGGGTGCTGATGGTGGTGGCAATTGTGGGTGGTGGTGGTGAAGGTGGTGGTGACAGTGACGACAGTCGTGATGATGATGGCTGTGGCGAGGAGATGGCGGCGGTGATCGTGATGGTGACGGTGGTGATGCTGGTTATGCTGGTGATGTTCGCAGTGATACCGTCGGTGATGATGATAGTAGTGGCGAGGAGATGATGATGGGGATGATGGTGGTGATGGTGGTGATGCTGCTTATGCTGGTGATGTTCACAGTGCTGCCAGTGGTGACGATGATGGTGGTGGCGATGAGATGACGGTGGGGATGATGGTGGTGATGGTGGTGATGCTGCTTCTGCTGGTGATGTTCACAGTGCTGCCAGTGGCGATGGTGATGATGAGGAGAGGGAGACGACAGACTAGAAAGAGCAGCAACCGGGCCGTTCCTTAAATTGTGGTCGGGGAGAACCCATTTGCAGCCGATGCTCGTCTTCGCCAGAAAAGCTCCTTGGCTCCTTGTTCAGAGTTCCTGGTGGTACCACGGTGACTGCACGCCCGTGCAACAATCCTTGCTTGCATCTGAGGTCAATGTTGTCTAGCCTCACCGACCGCTCGCCGTCGCTGGGCGAATGGCTTTCTGACCGTTCCTTTGCGTCTTATCATCCCCGTCACTGCCTGCTATCTGGTGCTCCCGCCCCGGTACAGCTCAGTGCTGTGCTTTTTCCTCGGGTCGCCGCGGTACGATGCTCGCGGTATTTCCTGTGCTCCCCCGGCCCCTGGCTGGCTGCCACTCCCCACTACCGTTGCCACCGTGGTTCGCCACGGCCGCCCACCGCGCTCTGGCCCTGCGCGCGTGGCTGCTGCTGCCCGCGGGCTGCTCATCGTCGAATTCTTTGGCGTCTGAGCGTCCCTCCTTCTTCTCGGCCTCCCCCCTCCCTCCTTGCATGCCAGCCAATTCGCTAGTTTGTGCCCTTACCTAGCTCTTCGCTGGAGCGGATTTCGCCGCCTCGCCGCTGACGGAAAAGGCGTCTTGTCATCCCCGTCGTCATCAGCGGACGAGCTGTTTGCACCCTGCCGCGTTGGCGTTTCCCGAGGCGTCTTCGATTCTCGACCCAGGCGTGTGGTGAGGTGCATCTGTTTGTTTAGCCCCCAGGGCCCAAGTGCTCACTGCACCAGTGCGACCCTCG